ATAGATAGATAGATAGATAGATAGATAGATAGATAGATAGATAGATAAACAGACAGACATGTGTGGACTATGTGGCTATCTCAGAGCTGTTGCTCTTGAACTCAGGTTGACGACTAATCGATCAGTACTTGACTGAACAGCACTTACAGAGGCCCTTTGAGAGATAGAATGGTGAATAGGGCCTTCTAACTGGGGCTTTACTTGTTTCCAGGTCAGCAGTCCACTGTCCCCCATCAAATCCCTGTCTCCACACTTTACAAATCCCACATCATCACTGCGTTCTAATTCTTATTGATTTTTATTTTTTTTTTAAAGTGACATGCATTTCTTTTAAGGCAAAATTTGTGTTTTCTTCATCTGAGGAAAGAAGCGATTTGGTCTGAAAAGAGCTACTCAGCAACTGTTCCATGAGAGGTTTAGCTAATTTATTACAGTGTGTGCTATGCAGGGTTTGGGCATTTAGAACACGGGGGAGTCTAATAAAAGAAGCTATCAAGTTCTGTTATGGGAAGTGTAAGCTCCTCTGTTTATATAGCTTGACCCAAAAACAGAGTATATCTGCCTCTGCAGTTTAGTTTTATCAGCCTTTTTTATGTAGCTCCTGTGAGTCGTCCAACTTTATAAAACTGTTTTACAAAGTCTAATCGTCGGTCGGTGTAAATGAGGAAATGATTCAGATTTGATCCAATGTTGTTGGAAAAAACTGTCACCTTTGTGTGTGTACATTATCCATGGTTCAGATTTTGAAGTGGTTTTCAAAACCTTAACTAAAACAGGATTTTCTTTGTCACAATGTCTCACATATAGAAACTGCTTGTTGGGGATTTTCCTCATGAACTTGAGGCAGACGAGATGGAGGAAGACGTGCCGAAACGCAAGAATCGTACCAAAGCACGGGTAGGCCAGAAAGGATGTTTTCGTCTTCTCTTGTCTTTTTTTCTCAGGTCCGTTTCCACATTATCATCCAAAAATGTGTACGTGATGTGGTACATCTCAATCAACACTGATAAGCAAATTTAATGTTGCAAAAAAGACCCCAATAGAACTCAATCTCAAACCATGTTACGTCTAAAACTGACTTTTATGTTTCCGTGTTTTCGAAAATTACTGTTGTGAGTGTCAATTAATTTTTAAACAAAGTTGAATTATTCGTGCCTGCCCTGTGTTACTGAGATGGCACTTTTACAAAAAATAACTTGTTAGAAATAAAGGCAAACAGATCCAGAGATTGCATCATGCTGCGATGACCTCTTTTTCTTTCTTATTGTTTTTTTAAAACAACTTTGATTGGAGAAGACGGGTCTTTTCCCCCACTCTTTTTGGGCATCCCATGGGCGGATAATCAAGTGTTAACAATGTCTTCTGAAAATCATGATCCCACACACATGCAGTGCAAACACACAGACTCACACGCAAACTCGCAAAGAGACACCAGGGTTGCTAATTGGAACTGTTGATCCCCTGCTAGGTGTCATCAGCCCCCTCCTGCTAGAAGTGGAGCTTTACACTGTGAGCGGATGATTAGAATGCAAACGTGCGTGTGTGTGATTGTGGAGACACTTCAGCACACAAATAAGAATTGTGCTGTGTTAATTTTTTTAAAGTATTTTTGTCTATTGTCTCGTATGAGTAAAGAAGTTCCAACTTTTCAGCCTTTACCATGCGTTTTCTCACACATGTACCCATTGTCCTTTCTGCAGGCCTATGGCGTCGGGGGCATGAGAAAGAGACAAGAGCTTCCCGCCATTGAAGACAGAGACAAGCCTTACGTCTGTGACAGTGAGCTTTGTGTCTTATTAAGTATTTCTGCCTCTTGTTTCTCTTTAATTTGTAGCTCACACGTCCTCGAAACTCATCTCTCACGCTGCATGTGTTTGTTCCAGTCTGCGGAAAGCGATATAAGAACCGCCCGGGGCTGAGTTACCATTACACTCACACACACTTGGCGGATGAAGAGGGTGAGGAAGACTCAGAGCGACATACACTGCCCTTCCAGCGCAAGAACAACCACAAGCGTGAGTTTTCTGTGCGATAAGCTTCCGAACACTTATCCATCTTCATCTCTTATCCATTTTTAGCCAAAGAGAGGAAAGACAGAAGAATTATGGAGTTCTAGCGTTGATGTTTCACAGACATTCGAACTATAGATCACGATCAGAAAGGGATGAAGAGCTATTGATTGTCCTTGAGCATAATAGATAGACACAGTGCTGACTAAGTCAAAATAAAAGTGGACTACTGTTTGTGTCGACATGTTCTCCCTCCAGAATTGTGCGTTCAGCTGATTTCTTCAGCTATCTCCGATTTTCTTCTCAGGCTCTTGATTTACGAGGGTCGAACAAGGGTTAGGGTGTTTTTTCTATGATTGCACCTGTAGCTCAGCACAGACAAGCCTTTGTTCGATCATAGGACTTCCCTTATAGGACATGCTGCTCTGTACACAGAAGGTCTCACTCTGATGGCCACAGGCTGGCAATCTGATAAATGTTCTAACAACAGAAAATGCCTGGCTATAGCCTAGAGGATGCAGAATATGGTGAAAAAAGGAACCCATGGGAGCCTTAGCGTTTTTACAGCACATCAAGGATAGAGGGCAGAGCCATAACTATTTGTGGGTTCAGTCATACTTGTTTTGGGACATATTGACAGTATTAACAAAGGAAGGTGCAGCAATATACCATCAGAAAAAGCAGTTTACAAGGGCACCTTGATTTGTAGTGTCACATTCCTATTTTGCTCATATTCAGGCTCTACAAATCTTTACCCAACGAGCCTGGCAGGGTAATGTCCCCACAGCATCTGATTTGACCGATTTGGACATTTTCCCTCTCACCTGCGTGGAATATTGTCTGAATTAATTTCAGAGATACGGCGCATGTGTGAAAACAGTTTTAGTTAATGTAACACTCTATAACCTTGCCTCAGTTTCAACAACTGCTGCAAGGACACATCACCTCAGTGAGAGAACAAACAGCTCTTCAATCAGCACTCATCAACTCTAATGGACTGTCTGTGAACAAACACCAGTTCTACTGTCAGGAAAATTTCCAGGGCACTCTTTATATCTCCACTTCTAGTGTTTGTATCCTTTCGTTTATAGCACTCAGTAGGGCTCAACAGCTTATTGAGTGTATTTTAACTCAGCGGTGCAGGCTATCATGAGGTAGTAATGAATATCCACTGAACTGCTTGCTAATGTTGGTATTCATGTCTCCAGGTGGGGATATGCTGTAGAACTTGGTCTTGTTTTAGCTATTACTGGACAATGTGAATTGGCTAGAATGACATAGATGTTTTCTGAAGTCACTATAAATTAATCTTAAATTAATAGCATTTGAATTTTACATTTGTCCGAAACCAAATTGACTTTTTATCTGATTATAATTTTCACAATGAGCAAATCAAATTAATTTATTTGAATGGGATTATGAATTAAGATAACTCTGACACAGATTATGTTTTGTTTTGTGTTACTGGGACCAGCATTGTTAAAACATGTGTGAAATGGTACTTTGTCTACTTTCAGTGCGTCACATGCATGTTCCACCACCAAACCTCAGGCAGTAGTTTTGTGTAGGGTGACACCCCTCAGACTTGAACTGTGCTAAGAACCACAAAAAAAATGTTTAACCTCGTATTACATATGTTCTGAGGCTGACCATGTACACTAACCTTAACCATAGTGAATTCGAAGTGAGAGTCTAATAGAAAAAGGCTAAGAGTTGGATGAGATAATGAACCAGAAGAGTCAAAGACCAATGGAATACCTTCAAAGTGGGTTGGGAAATAGCCTCCTAAGTATGGTGGTTAGTGAAATATGGCCTCCCTCTGCCCTTTTTGTATTTTTTTTTTTCATAATTCTTTCATAATTTGACAAGTTATGTTTAACATGCAGCATCTGGCATTACCCTGGTTTAACCTGCATTAATAATGACTTTGCTTATGTAGATGTTCTATTAAAGTGGCACGTACAAAACAGATGCCTGTTATACAGAGGCTTTGTTAAACATCCAACGAAAATTATTCTACAATGGAAAGTGGAAAGATACAGAGCTCTTCATGAAAAACCTGTGGTATGGTTGAAGATTTGTTCCCAGCTGATATCGGGTGAAAAGCAAAGTGCACCCTGGACAGGTAGCCAGTCCATTAACATTAATTAAGCCAACACGCATGCTTTCTTGAATGGTGGAAGGACCCCACAGACATGATAAAAACAGGCACAAACAGGCCCCAAAAGTATATGTTTTAAAGTAAAATGCTGAAGCCGAGCTTGTTCTAATGCAAAATCTGGAAAAATATGGGTTCTGTTAAAAAAAAATATTAAAGTGATGAATTACCAAAAAGTACAGCAAATATTTACATTTCAAAGTAGGGTTTATGAATCAGACCCACAAACTCTATGCTGTCAGCTGCAGAATCCAAATTACTTGCACTCTTTGTTACTTTGTGGCTATTTAATCCCCAGGGTCTGCTTATTTACCACCTTGCGGTTTGTGCTCAGTATTGACTGCTGCCTGTGTACTTTGTTTTTGGCCACGTCTTTTAAGAACAACTCCATGCCTTTATTATACAGATTTTCCTCGCCTTTTGGTCAGTAATTTGTAGCGAAATTGCTGCACTTTTTTACAATAAAAAAGGCAAGTGTAATTGCTGTAGACATTTAAAAAGAGAGCACAAACTAAACATCCCTTGTCTTTGTTCCTCATGGTCTTACTAAAACAAGCAATTTGCTCAGAATAGAACATAGATAAACACACTTCAACCTTATCTGTGTACGGCGCACTACAACAATGTCGATGCTAAAGCAATGCTGGCTTTATATATATATACACACACACACACATATACATATATACATATATATATATATATATATATACACACATATATATACATCTGTAGAGAAAGAGGTGCGTGTCTGTGTACATGTGGTCATGTTGCAGTGTTGCAGTGTTGGGTCTCTCTACAGTCGAGGAGAGTACGAGAGACAGCATTTGAATAGTTTAATATCCCCCACACTCCCTCCCAAACAGTCAGTAATCACACACAGTTGTACACACACACACACACACACACACACACACACACACACACACAC